GGCTGCTGCCCCCTCTTGGATATTGTGAATTAGTGGCCCGGTGCATGAATTCATGCACATTGAAAGGAAATTAATTAGAATAAACAGTTTAATATCGCTATTCGCCCTTTCTCTCTAATGGAAGTGTCAATCAAATTCACAATCGACAACGACAGATCAAAACACACGTGTGTGATTGGCACTAGCGAGAGCTTTATATGTATCACACATGCTCGGAGTCAACGTTTATTTTTAGATGGCCAGTGCACATCATATGTACCGGTAGGTAGGTTGGTCGGTCACTTAGCCTTTTATATCTATAACTAAAGGCCTGGTGCACGACATTCATGCACGGGGGAGGGGGGGGGGTCGCGAGGGTCCCTCAGCCCGGCCTGCGCCCTCTCGCAGTCCAGGACCCCTCAGGGGATGTCCAACTGCTGGCTTAGGCCCACTCTAGCTAGAGCCTAAGCCAGCAGTCAGATATCCCCCGAGGTGTCCTTAGGGCTGCCACGGTGGCGCTGCGCTCGCCAGCCATGAGCCCGGCTTCTGGCTGAGCGGTGCTCCTCTTGTGGGAGCACACTGACCACCAGGGGGCAGCTCCTGTGTTGAGCATCTGCCCCCTGGTGGTCGGTGTGTATCATAGCAACCGGTCATTCCTCCATTCGGTAGATTTGCATATTAGCCTTTTATCATATAGGATAATAAAAGCATTATATGCTAATTAGACCGGACAGCCAAATGTCCTTCCGGATGACCTTCTGGATGAAGCCGGGGCTGCAAGGACCGAGCCCCTCACACGAATTTCGTGCATCATGCCTCTAGTATATAGATAAGGCTGCTATGAACATGGGTGTGCAAATATCCCGCTGGGACCCTGCTTTCAATTCTTTTGGGTAACTCTCCCCTTACCCAAGGTTTCATTCCATTCAACTGTGGTCTGAAAATAGGAAACAGGAGAATCCCAGAAAGAATGTGACTCACATCGCTGTCTCCAGCAGTATCTCTGCCCGGAGGCTCGCCCCTCCTGTTAATCACGTAGGAGCCTCTGTTCTGAGCCCGGCTGTCACAGTGCCTGCGATCGAATAACCCTTATTTTCCTTAATCACGGCCCCAAAGTGCAAGAGTGGTGATGCTGGCAATCCAGAGAGGACAGGGAGACGCCATAAAGTGCTTCCTTGTAAGTGGAAAGGTGAAAGTCCTCGACTTAATGAGGGGCGAAAAAAAATGTATGCTGAGGCTGCCAAGGCCTACGGTAAGAATGACTCTTTCCTCCGTGAGATGGTGAAGAAGGAAAAAGAAAGTTGTGCTTGTTTTTTTTGTTGTTGTTGTTTTGTTTTGTGTTTTTTTAAAATATATTTTATTGATTTTTTACAGAGAGGAAGGGGGAGAGATAGAGAGTTAGAAACATCGATGAGAGAGAAACATCGGTCAGCTGCCTCCTGCACACACCCTACTGGGGCTGTGCCCGCAACCAAGGTACATGCCCTTGACCGGAATCTAACCTGGGACCCTTCAGTCCTCAGGCCAGTGCTCTATCCACTGAGCCACACTGGTCAGAGCTTGTTTTTTGTTTTGTTTTAAGATTTTTTATATTGATTTTTAGAAAGAGAGAAAGGGAAAGGGAAGGAGAGAGAAACATCGATGTGAGAGTGAACCATTGATCAGCTGCCTCCTACAAGCTCCCTACTGCACACCCCCCTGTTGGGGATTGAGCTGGCAACCCGGGCATGATGACACCCACCCAACTGAGACACACCACCAGGGCGGAGGTGCAGTAGTTTTGTTTTGAATATATTTGTATTGATTTCAGAGTGGAAGGGAGGGAGAGACAGAGAGATAGAAACATCAACGCCCCCTACTGGGGATCGAGCCCACAGCCCTGGCATGTGCCCTTGACTGGAATCAAACCTGGGACCCTTCCGTCCACAGGCCGACGCTCTATCCACTGCTCAGGGCCCAAACTCTACTCTTTTTTTAAAAATATATTTTATTGAATTTTTACAGAGAGGAAAGGAGAGGGACAAAGAATTAGAAACATCGATGAGCGAGAAACATCGATCAGCTGCCTCCTGCACACCCCCCCACTGGGGATGTGCTCGCAGCCAAGGTACATGCCCTTGACCGGAATCAAACCCGGGACCCTTCAGTCCACAGGCCCACGCTCTATCCACTGAGCCACACCAGTCAGGGCCCAAACTCTACTGTTTTGCACTGTTTGTCACAGCGACTTGGCTCAAGAACCTTACAAGATTTCCCATTATCCCCTCCCCCTGCCCCTCCCCCCAAATCCAACCTCGCTTCCTGTGCAGTTTCCAAGACCCCCTTTCCATCTGTCCCCACGGGCCTTCCCAGGCTCCTCCTGGATGGCTCTCCCACCCAAGGCCTCTCCGTTAGGTTCAAACCTGAATGGAAGGCCTTTGTGTGTGCACAGGGTGACCCCTCCCAAACCATCACAGGCCCTCCCGCCTCCTTCCGGGTGACGGTGTCCTCCCTGCATCCCCGTTCCCGGAGTGCTGGGCCCCAGTGCCCGAGGGGAAGGGCCAGGTCTCGGCCCTCCGTGGAAGAGAGTCCATGGTCAGTGCCTCTCCCACACTCCCACTGACCTCTCTGCTCGCCTCCTTCTACCGCAGCGGCTGTTTCTCTGTCCCCCGGGGCCTGGGCACTTGCTGTCCACATGGGAAGCTCTTATCCAGGTCCTCTGGTCCCTCTGCCTCTGGGCTCCCACTGAGGCCCTTCCCAGCCTTTATTGAAACGGCACCTCCAGCCTGGCTGGTGTGGCTCAGTGGTTGAGCATCCACCTATGAACCAGGAGGTCACGGTTTGATTCCCGGTCAAGGCACATGCCCTGGGTTGGGGGCTTGATCCCCAGTGTGGGGCGTGCAGGAGGCAGCCGATCCATGATTCTCTCTCATCATTGATGTTTCTCTCTCTCTCTCTCTCCCTTCCTCTCTGAAATCAATAAAAATATATTTTTTTTTAAAAAGATTAGGTTTGGGGGAACGTCATGTGTTAGGATTTGAAGGACGGTTTCGAGCAGGGCATGAAGACGGAGCGCCGACTGGGGCAGGTGAGGGTGGGGATGCAGGTGTGGGGAGCAAAGGAGAAAAGCAGGGAAGACTTAAAGATGCAAATGTGGAACGCAGCACGGAGCCGGCTCGGGAACTGTGGGGACAAGAACCAGAGGAGCAGGAGATGTTCTGTCTAAGACGGAGGAGGTGCCCTGGCCGGAGCTCAGTTGGATAGAGCGTCGTCCTGATACGCCAAGGTTGCGGGTTCGATCTCTGGTCAGGCAACATACAAGCATGAACCAATGAGTGCATCAACAAGCAGAACAACAAATCTATGTTTTTCTTTCCTTCCCTCCCTTCCTCCTTCTCTCTCTAAAATCAATTGTTTAGCCCTAGCTGGTTTGGCTCAGTGGATAAGAGTGTCCAGTGGTCGGCAAACTCATTGGTCAACAGAGTCAAATATCAACAATACAACGATTGAAATTTCTTTTAAGAGCCAAATTTTTTAAACTTAAACTATATAGATAGGTATATTGTTATTAACTTAATTAGGGTACTCCTAAAGCTTAGGAAGAGCCACACTCAAGGGGCCAGAGAGCTGAATGTGGCTCTCGAGCCGCAGTTTGCCGACCACTGGTCTAGCCCCAGGTTTGATTCCCATCAAGGGCACATGTCCAGGGTTTCAGGCTCAATCCCCAGTAGGGGGCGTGCAGGAGGCAGCCAATCAGTGATTCTCTCTCATCATTGATGTTTCTCTCTCTCCTCTTCTTCTCTGAAATCAATAAAAATATTTTTTAAAATAATTTTAAAATAAAATCAAATTTAAAAAAAACTGAGGAGGTGAGTGGGGTGGGGGGTGTCCTGGCAGGATCCCCAGGGGGCACGAGGTCCTGAGAAGATGGTAGAAACAAAAGCCTCCCTTGGAGCTGTGGTGCAGGAATGTTGCCTCATCTCCCCCCACACCAGGGTAGCAAACATTTATACGCTTGCAAAACAAAAAGTCCCCAAAGATGCCCTACCCGGTCTGGCTCAGTGGATAGAGCGTCGGCCTGTGGACTGAAGGGTCCCAGGTTCGATTCTGGTCTAGGGCATGTACCTTGGTTGCAGGCATATCCCCAGTAGGGGGTGTGCAGGAGGCAGCTGATTGATGTTTCTCTCTCATTGATGTTTCTAACTCTCTATCCCTCTCCCTTCCTCTCTGTAAAAAATCAATAAAAATATATTTTTTTAAAAAGTCCCCAAAGAGTCTGAATGCCAGGAAAATGTGCCCCCACAGGATGGGAACCTATAGTGATCTGTGTGATCTCAAATTTGAACAACCCACCGGAGCAATGCCTGATCGTGTGGACACATTTCCGAATCCGGGTTTATTTTCGGGGTCTGACACAGTCAGATGTCTCTTATATGAAAACCCCATGGACTTGGGGAAATTCCCTTCCCAGCCACCCACCTCCATGACCCCCGGGGGCAAAGGGATGGGGGAGGGGGGCGGCTGTGCTTATTCTGTACGGATCTGGGGAGGACGCTCGGTAGAGGGAGGGGGTGTCAACCCCGCCAAACCTCAAGCAGCCTATGAAAGCTGGCTCTGGTTTTGCCCTTACTTGCAACTCATTCATGTCTTCCTGGGCCAGGCACCACTCTGAGGAATTAAAGGTCCAGCTTGAAAGAGAATAACCAGGAGGAAATATGGCTGGGCAGGTAGGGGCTCCCTCCAAGCCTGCTCCCCCTTGTCCCCAAACTGCCAGCCCCGCTGGGAGACAGAGCCTGTAGCGGGCGGACTGAGCCGTTTCTGGGACACCCTGGACCAACGGGAGGCTGTGAGGGCTCTGTTCCTGCATCCCTGCCTTCCGCGGGCTGGGCTGGGCTGGGCTGGGGGCGGGCCCCCTCTCCCCTCACCTGCTGCCCTTCCCAATTAAGAGCCTCCCTGTCCCTCAGGCCAACTTCCCCCGCCCCCTCCCCCCCATCAACACAAAAACCCCAGAGTGCCAGGCCGGCAGCAGCCCAGAAGCTGGGGCACATTCCCGGAGTTCCGATCGCCCCGAGATGTTTACTCTCTGGGCGGAGGGTGAGAAAGGAAAGCGAGATGTTGCAATCCACTCCCTCCACGTCAGCCAGCGGCGTCAGCTGAGCGATTAGCTGGCGGACATGGGTGGGGCAGAGGCAGGGCAGCGGGACATGGAGCCGGTCCGCTCTGCCAGCCCTGACTCAGGTGCCTGCCGGCCGAGCTGCATCTCCCGGCAGGAGATGGCCACGTGCTCACTCGAAAACGAACCTGAAACCGAAGCCGCGCCAGGCCAGCGGGGTCAGGATTCCCCGCTTGAAGTCAGAGGTGACTCACCGCTGACAGCCACCGACCTCGGCAGCTGACAAGTGGCCACAGAGAGGCAGAGGCGTGAGACGAGAGCACAGGAAGCAGGCAGGTGAGGGTGGGTGCCGCCGGGATGGGGGGGTCAGGGCCTGTCTCGGGGGGAGCAGGTCAGGGGAGGTGGCCTCCTGGTCCTGTGTCCGTCAAGCAGGACCGCAAGCCCTGGCACTGCCAGGCCAGGACGCCGGCAGGGTGGCAAGAGGCCAACTTCCCTTTGCCAGGTGGCGTTCGTGATAAGGGCAGGGCACAGAGCGCAGGCTGGCTGGGAGGTGGCCGGGGACGCCTGGGCCCCACTTGGTCCCCGGGTGACGATGCCCTTGCTGCCTCCTGTTCTCCAGCGCAGCTGAGCCTCCGGGGCAAGCATGGCGAGCAGCATGGAGGTGGTGGCCATGGACTGTGAGATGGTGGGGCTGGGGCCCAACAACGAGAGCGGCTTGGCCCGGTGCAGCCTCGTGGACATCGAGGGCGCCGTGGTCTACGACAAGTTCATCCGGCCCGAGGGGGAGATCACCAATTACAGAACCGCCGTCAGCGGGGTCACGGCCCGGCACATGGAGAAGGCCACACCCTTCGCCGTGGCCAGGCTGGAGGTGAGTGAAGGGCCGTGTGCCAGCCGGGCCAAGGGGGGGTGGGGGGGGCTGCAGACACCATCGCCCCAACACAGACACACTTCCCTGGCGCCTTCCCCAAGTGGGGGATCCCCGACCTGTGCTACTCTTCCTGTCCGTGTCCCCTTGCCGACTTCCACCTGCGCTTCTGACCTCCTGCTGGTCTGTGATGATGATGAACTACGGTCCCACCTGATGTTCCTCACACTGATTGGGGGGTCTGAATTCCCCATTCTTTCCTCTCTACCCGGCTGGCCCCCACCAGTGAGCCCCGTGTGGAGATATGGGCGGGTCCGGGGCGGAGGCCTTCACTGGCTGGGCCCTGGCAGGGTGCCCTCCGGGTCCTTAAACACTGGCCCCGAGGGGAGGGCTTGCTCCCGGACCCGCTGCTGCAGCGGCAGGCAGGCTGGGCCGGCTGTCAGTCTGTCAGCTGTCAGTCTGTGGTCCCGAGACCCACCCCCTCCTGCAGCTGCTCCAGGTTTAACTTTCTGTTTCTCAGAATCACCAAACAGAAAACCAACTCAAGCACTTACTTCACAGGGGGCCCCAGGTTAGTCACTTCTGGGAAGGTGTCGAAGGGCAAACGAACGCACAGTATTGGTTTCTGCGCCGCTGGGGCTTGGGGATGTCCACGTCGAACAGGGGGAAGTGAGGTTTGTCTTAACTTCCCACACCTCCCACGCCAGGCTCAGGTGCTAGAGATAAAACCACTATTGTGTTTGGGGTTATTGTTTGTTTTTTAATCCTCACCCAAAAGGACACGTTTTCATTGGTGAGAGAGAGAGAGAGAGAGAGAGAGAGAGAGAGAGAGAGAGAATTTTTTTTAATGTTTCCATCTTTACTTTGTTAACGTAAAGAAACCATTGAAACCTGTAAAGAATTTTTGTGAGTTTATTTGACCCAAACTGTCGACAAATGCTGGGAAGCTGAACCTCAGTGGATTGAGATAATGCTCCGGAGAATGGCCGGTTACATCTGTATTTATACATGGCAATCAAAGGTTACATGAAATTGATTAGTGGTAGATTAAGGAGGTGGGATAAAGCAAAGGGGGCAGGGGGGAGGGGAGACACCCCTGGGGTTGCATAAAAAGTAAAACGATGGACACATACTTAGGTGGGTACAGGATCAATTAACATGAGAATGAAGGAATCTGTGGTCTCTGTCCTGGCGCCCAGCACATTTGGTTGTGCCCCAGGGGCTCCAGAAAAAGGGAAGTTACAAGTTACCCAGACACTTCAAGGGTGTGTTATCATCGATGCAAAAAGACAGATAGGCTCCGTTAAGGTAAAGGTTGACCTTGTCAGTGAAGATACCGGCCTAGGACGTAACTGCCCACCACAACTGCTTTTAGTTAAAGTGTAATTTCAGACCATCCTTTGTGGTGACTTTAGGTCTCTGTCAGGTCAGCATGTGGCCCCTTTCGTCCACAAGAGAAAGAGAATTTGGTGAGAGAGAAACATCAATCAGTTGCCTCCTGCAGGCACCCTGACCAGGGATCACACCTGTAACCTTTTGGTGTACAGGAGGGCGCTCCCGCCAACACCAACGGAGCCGCCGGCCAGGGCGCGTAGCTACTACGTACTGGTGTAGGGTTTCCTGACTCTGTCTCCAGCGCATTCATGCCTCACCAAACAGTCTCCCAAGGTGGGTTCCCAGGAGGGTTCCCGGAGGTAACTCAGGTCTGAATCCCGGCAGGTCAGTCCACACCTCTGCACCCAGTTTCCACACCCAGAGAAGAAAACGGGGGTGACAACCGAAGCGATGTCATAGGATTCTTTTTTTTTTAAATATATTTTATTGATTTTTTACAGAGAGGAAGGGAGAGAGATAGAGAGTTAGAAACATCGATGAGAGAGAAACATCGACCAGCTGCCTCCTGCACATCTCCTACTGGGGATGTGCCCGCAACCCAGGCACATGCCCTTGACCGGAATCGAACCTGGGACCCTTCAGTCCGCAGTCTGACGCTCTATCCACTGAGCCAAACCGGCTTCGGCATGTCATAGGATTCTTGTGGGGACTGAGAAAGTGCCAGGGGAGGGTGCCTCTAGGGCAGTGATGGCGAACCTTTTGAGCTCGGCGAGTCAGCATTTTGAAAAACCCTAACGTAACTCTGGTGCCGTGTCACACATAGAAATGTTTTGATCTTTGCAACCATAGTAAAACAAAGACTTATATTTTTGATATTTATTTTATATATTTAAATGCCATTTAACAAAGAAAAATCAACCAAAAAAATGAGTTCGCGTGTCAGTGGTGTCATAGGTTTGCCATCACTGCTCTAGGGACTCACTCTAGCTACCGTGATTGTCCGCCCTGTAACCCCATGTCACAGATAAGGAAACAGGCTCACCTGGACCAATGGATGTATTGCCTGGCTAGGGCCACTGTAACGAAGGACCGCAACTGGGGGGCTTAAGCAGCGGAAGTGTGTGTCTCTCAGTTCTGGAGGCTAGAAGTCCAAGATCAAAAGGGGTGAGCCAGCCCTAGCCAGTTTGGCTCAGTGGATAGAGCATCAGCCTGCAGACTGAAGGGTCCCAGGTTCGATTCCAGCCAAGGGCACATGCCTGGGTTGCGGGCTTGATCCCCAGTGGGGGGATGTGCAGGAGGCAGCCAATCAATGATTCTCTCCCATCATTGATGTTTCTATCTCTCTTTCCCTCTCCTTTCCTCTCTGATATTAAGAAAAAAAAAAAAAGGTGTGAGCCAGTGGAGTTTCGCTCCTTCTTCTTCTTTTTAAATTTATTTATTTGAGAGAGAGGTGGGAAGGAAAATGGAGGGAGGGGAGGGAGAGAAAGAGAGAGAGAGATGGATTTGTTGGTCTACTTATTGACGCACTCATTGGTTAATTTTTTTTATATATTTTATTGATTTTTTACAGAGAGGAAGGGAGAGGGATAGAGAGTTAGAAACATCGATCTGAGAGGAATATCGATCAGCTGCCTCCTGCACACTCCCTATTGGGTATGTGCCCGCAACAAAGGTACATGCCCTTGACCAGAATCGAACCTGGGACCCTTGAGTCCGCAGGCCGACGCTCTATCCACTGAGTCAAACCAGTTAGGGCTCATTGGTTGATTCTTGTATGTGACTGGGAATCGAACCCACAACCTCGGTCTATTGGGATGGACACTCTGACCACCTGAGCGGCCCGGCCAGCGCCCGGGGTTGGTTTGCTCTGAGGGCTGAGGGGGAGAATGTTTCTAGGTCTCTCCCAGCTCCCAAGCGTGGGCTGGCAATCTTTGGTGTTCGTCGGCTTGCAGACATGTCACCTCAACCTCTGCTTTCGCGTTCACGTGGCATTCTCCCCGTGTGCGTCTCTGTGCCCGGATTCCCCCTTTTTATCAAAGCTCCCGTTATTTGGACTCGGGGCTCCCCCTAACTCCGTCTGCACAGATCCTACTTCCACATAAACCACGTTTTGAGGAACTAGGGATTTCAACAAGTGAATCTGGCCGGCCTGGGGTGGACAGAGTTGGCACAATTCAGCCCATAACACTGAATAACGGGCCCAAATTCAGAAAACAGAATGGGAAGGGCTGGTCAGGATTCGAACTTGGGCTCGAAACCTCTAGGGCTGTGTGTCCCATAGGGTGGGGTGCCCACCTGGCTGGTGAGCCCCCGGAAAGCAGCTGGTCTGAACTGCCAAGTGCTGTGAGTGTACCCTGCATTTCAAAGACCTGTTTAAAAAAAATCATAAAATACCTCGGTAATTTTCTATAGTGATGACTTGTTGACATGGTAGTATTTGGGGTCTATTCAGTTAAATAAAACATATCAAAACTAACCTGACCTATTTCTTTTGAACCTTTTCCAATATGGCTACTAGATGATGTAAATGCCTTAATGTGGCTCCTGGTCTATTTCTCTTGGTCAGCACTGACCTAGAGGTGCTAAGAGGGTGCTGGGGAGCCCTGGGGGGGGGGCACTATATATCATGGTGGTTCTGGAGAGACTCCAGGAGGCTGGTGGCATGTGCAAGGGGTGGGAGGAGTTTGCGCATGCAACTGAGTGGGCCATAGGGAGCCACTGAAGATTCTTGAGCAAGAGCATGGCAGGATCAGAGCCAGTTTCAGAAAAACTACAATGGGGTGGGGGAGGAATGCTGTGGAGGAGAGATGGGAGTGAGGGAGAGAGGACAATGGGGAGAGAGTCAGAGCCCCTAAGGAGCAGCTATGGGGGAGGTGAGGGGGAGCTGAGACCTATGTAGCGGAGGACTAGAAAGAAGGAAATGTTAGGACAGAGGAGACCAAAGGGGACTCACCAAGAAGGGGAGAGCAGCATAAAGAAGGGACAGGCCCTGGCTGGTGTGGCTCAGTGGATAGAGCGTCGGCCTGCGGACTGGAGGGTCCCGGGTTCGATTCCCCGTCAGGGCACATGCCCGGGTTGCAGGCTCGATCCCCACAGGGGGCGTGCAGGAGGCAGCCGATCCATGATCCCCTCTCATCATTGATGTTTCTCTTTGAAGTCAATAAAAATATATTTAAAAAAAAGAAGAAGAAGAAGAGGTGGGTCAGTTCAGGCGCCAGCGAGAGGCCAAGGGCACTGAGAGGAGCTCCCCACACTCAGATCCCCGCTGAGCAGTCAGGTGGACGGCGGGTCCCCATCCTTCCTCCGCCTCCCCAGCCTCCCTCCCATCAGAGCGGCAGAAAGCGAAAGAGCCCGGAGCAGGGGGACAGGAGGCAGCAAAGACACACTTGTGGCACCTCTGGGCGTGGACTTTCGGGCCGTTCCCTGGGCGCCCTTGGCACCGCCCTGGGAGGCAGGACACCTTGGCCTCGTCCAGCTTTGGTGCAGAAATGCTCTGGTTCTCAGGTGGAGGTGATGCCGGGCCCAGTGCTTCTCGCGAGTGGCATGAAGCCCTGCCCAGAGCAGGCACCGAGCCACCCCAGGAGCGAGGCGGGACTCTGAAATGGGTCTTTGGACCCACAGCTGGGGTTCCCACTTCCTGCTCCATCACTAACTGACCCGTGTGACCTTCAGCAAGTGAGAAACCCTTTCTTTTTTATATATATACTAGAGGCCCGGTGCACGAAAATTCATGCACTCAGGGGTGGGGGAGTCCCGCAGCCCGGCCTGTGCCCTCTTGCAGTCTGGGACCCCTCGGGGTATGACCACCTGCTGGCTTAGGCCTGCTCCCCGGGGGATCAGGCCTAAAGTGGCAGTCAGACATCCCTCTGGCCACCCAGGAGCCCTCAGGGGATGTCCGACTAATGGCTTAGGACCTCAGGGAGTGGGCCTAAGCCCGAGGTCGGCAAACTGCAGCTCGAGAGCCACATGTGGCTCTTTGGCCCCTTGAGTGTGGTTCTTCCTAAGCATTAGGAGTACCCTAATTAAGTTAATAACAATTTACCTACCTATATAGTTTAAGTTTAAAAAATGTGGCTCTCAAAAGAAATTTCAATCGTTGTACTGTTGATATTTGGCTCTGTTGACTAATGAGTTTGCTGACCACTGGCCTATGCCATTAGTCAGACATCCTTAGCGCTGCCGAGGCTCCCACCACCACCGCTGTGCTTGCAGCCAGTCAGCCTGGCTTGTGGCTCAGTGGAGCTCCCCCTGTGGGAGAGCACTGACCACCAGCGGGCAGCTCCTGCATTGAATGTCTGCCCCCTGGTGGTCAGTGTGCATCATAGCAACCAGTCGTTCCCGGTCATTCCACTGTTAGGGTCAATTTGCATATTACCCTTTTATTATATAGAGATATGGACCTTTCTGAGCCTGTTTTCTCACCGGAGAAAGGGGAGTACTGGTTTTTCCTTCCAACACAGGGGAGTCTGGAAGCGGTGATGGCCTATAGCAGTGGTCGGCAAACTGCGACTCACAAGCCACATGCGGCTCTTTGGCCCCTTGAGTGTGGCTCTTCCACAAAATACCGACTTCTGCGCATGGTCCATGAAGTTTCAATCGCACTGTACATGCATGCCTGCACATGGTATTTTGTGGAAGAGCCACACTCAAGGGGCCAAAGAGCCGCATGTGACTAGCGAGCCGCAGTTTGCCGACCACTGGCCTATGGCCTTAGCTCAGTGCCCAGTTCACAGCGCATGGCCACTAATGTGCCCGTGGAGAAAAGACAGAAATCTTGATTTTTCATCTGAGTTGCCTCTCTGACTCCCCTAGAGAATGCAGCCTTAGACTCTGGCCCTCATTTTCTGCCTGCTTGCTGCCTACCCTGCTGCCCCAGAGACTTCCCCAAACCTGGCTCAGATCACAGCCTCCCAGGGCCCCCCTGGCCTAAGTTCCTCTGAGCCTCAACCTACCTGCCTTCTCTCACAGCTCAGCCACCACCCACCTGTGCTTCAGACAAACCTCTACTTGTCCCGCCTCCCTGCCCCTAATCCTACCATCCTGGCAGGCCCAGGCCAGAGGAGTCCCCACAATTCAAACTGTCAGCACAAGAAGGAACTCATGAGGAGACTGAGGTCCAGAGAGGGGCAGTGACTTGCCTAAGGACACACAGCAACTTGGGATGCAACTTGGTGCACAGACTCAGTGCTCTCACCTGCAGACTAATTACCCTTTTCTTTTCTTTCTTTCTTTTTTTTTAACTAACAGTACTTTTTAATAGCTTGTAACTCACTTCTGTAAGTTAATGCTCTTTTAATGTTAGCCCAGTATGGGGAGTAGCATCTACCCCATGATGGGGATTGGAGGGATAATTGCATTTTTACTTTGCAAACAAGGGAACCGAATCCTGTGGAGCATCGTGGTTTAGGAGGGACACACGGAGGACACGAGGGAGGCCACGGTAGCTTGTGGACCGGAAGCTATTTCATATGGAACCAGCACAGCAGCCCTCGCCTCGGTGGCGTGCCTTGTTGGGGGGCCACTGTTGGGCAGGTGCCTATGGGCTCAGCCAGATGGAGGACAAATTCAGTATCCAGGTTCCCCCAGGGTCAGCTGCCTCGTGAGGAGAAGACACAAGCAGGGGACAGGAAAGAGGAGGACAGGGCCCCTCCTGAAGATGAGAGTAAAGGACCTGGGCCTCCACAAGGACAACATTCTTACAGGCCCTGACAGCCACCTGTCCTGGCAGCCGGGAATGGATGAATGGATACACGAATCAATGGAGAGATGGGAGAATGGATACAGGTATTAATGAAGGAATGAATGAATGGGTACAGGAACTAATGAAGGAATGGATGAATGGACACAGGAACCAATGAAGAAATGGAGGAATGGATACAGGAACTAATGAAGGAATGGATACAGGAATTAGTGAAGGAATCAATGAATGGATACAGGAACTAATGAAGGAATGCATACAGGAATTAGTGAAGGAACCAATGAATGGATACAGGAACTAATGAAGGAATGAATGGATGGATACAGGAACCAATGAAGGGATGGAGGAATGGATATAGGAACTAATAAAGGAATAGGTGAATGGATACAGGAACCAATGAAGGAATGGATGAGTGGATACAGGAACTAATGAAGGAATGGAGTAGATACAGGAACCAATGAAGGCATGAATACAGGAATTAGTGAAGGAATCATGAATGGATACAGGAACTAATGAAGGAATGGATACAGGAACTAATGAAGGATGAGATGATACAGGACAATGGATACAGGAACCAATGAAGGAATGGATACAGGAATTAATGAAGGAATCATGAATGGATACAGGAACTAATGAAGGAATGGATACAGGAACTAATGAAGGAATGGAGGAGTGGATACAGGAACTAATGAAGTAATGGGTACAGGAATTAGTGAAGGAATCAATGAATGGATACAGGAAGTAATGAAGGAATGAATGGATGGATACAGGAAACAATGAAGGAATAGAAGAGTTGATACAGGAACAAATGAAGGAATGGAAGAGTGGGTACAGGAACCAATGAAGGAACGGAGGAGTGGATACAGGAACCAATGAAGGAATGGAGGAGTGGATACAGGAAACAATGAAGGAATAGAAGAGTTGATACAGGAACTAATGAAGAAATAGAAGAGTGGGTACAGGAACGAATGGAGGAATAGGTGAATGGATGATGGAAGCAGCAGCTCTGAGCTGCTGCACAGTCTTCAGTGCAGAGATGTCCACACTCATGCAAGGCAGACAACGCCCTGGACGCTGGCGAGGGCCCCTCCCCCGCTGTGTGAGTCAGTGGATTCTGGGGTAGAGACCGCCCTCTGGATGTTCAACAAGGGCCCCAGGTGACTTTTGATCTGGGAAATACTTGGAACGAGAGTGAAACTCGGTGGAAGGAGAGTATACGGGCAGACACCTGGGCCAGCCCCTCCCTGGCTCTGCAGCCCTGCTCTCTGTTGGTCACATGGTATGACGATCCCTGCCTTCCAGAAGCCATCTTCCTGGTTCCAGAAACCTTCACAGAGTGCTCTCTGCTCTGAGATGAATGACGTTAATACAGCCCCTGCGTTCTTCGTAGTGGTGACCATCACAACCACAATCACAGTGACAGGCTCAGGTGCATCCCAGCTCTCAACTCGCCAGCTGTGTGACCTGAGCAAGCGTCTTAACCTCTCTGATCCCTGGGCCCCACCCTCGGTAAAATGGAACTAAAAATACTCTTGCTGAGAGGCTGCATGACGGGGTGCGGAAAGTACCTGGCCGGGTGCCAGGATAACGAAGGCAGACAGATCGATGTCCCTTCCCCCCACCCCTCTCCAGTTCTTTCCCCTAGTTTGAGCATCTCCACCTCCTGTGCGTGATACACCTGCCTCATTACACTGACTCGGGGCAGGTCCCACGGCTCTGAGGTCCCTCGGGCTGGTACCTCCCCACCTGCCTGGGTTCAGAAGGTCCCCCTTCCCCTCCCCAGCCTTGCCTCAGAAAGCCAGGGGAGCCCCGGCTGCCAGCTGGCCCCTGGAGGCTCACCTGACACATGGGGAACGGAAGCCCAGAGATGCTCTTTAAGCTCCCTGAGGCCACACAGCACGTCCCAGCCAGCTCTCCCTGCCCATGCTCAGCATTTCTGGCCTGAAGGGTTGTGGCTCTCCCCTTTGCCCTGCTTCCTTGTCCTTCCTCTGCGTGTCCACCCCCACATCCCCTTGTCTCATGATGAGTCCTGGGCCCCCCCACCCCAGGGACCCTCAGGCTCGGGAAGTGATGAATTTCCCAGGAATGCACCCCACCATGACTTGGCCCTACAACATCTGGGACCCCGTGGCTGCCTCTGGAATGGGAGATCGCTCCCTCAGGGCGTGTGTGAGCTGTGTGTGAGCTGGGCCCGAGCCAGCCCCCAGCCGGGAAAACAGGCCACATTGTTTGCAAACACAGGATGTGAGCAAGGGAAGGGGTGTGACCCACAGCCGCAGGCGCACTTCCCCACTCTCCCACGGGCGCCTGGGTGCTTTCTCTGCTTTCTCTACGCGCTGGCCAGCGCCCTTTCCTTGAGCACAGGTCCTGGGCCCTCGCCTGCTAGAAATGCAGAATCCAGGTTTCAGTGAGACGCCCCAAGGGCACCCCGAGCCCCAGGGTGAGGAGGCACTGGTGTCCATCAAGAACTGGCAGCTGATGAGCTTGCCCTGGTCCCAGTGCCCAGCAGGCTGCGTCCAGGGAAGGCCCCAACCAAACCACGAGAATGGCGGGCAGGCCGGCCACCCTGCCTGCAGATGCCTCCAGCGCTGGGACGGGACGGTGGACAAGTTCCCTCACCTCTCTGAGCCTCAGCTTTCTCTTCTGTAAAGTGGGCATATTGGTCCTCTGGTCTCCAAGGGAGAGTCTATCAGAGGCCCCCCGTGAAGTCTCAGGAGGCCACTCAGGGCAGAAGCAGGATGCGGGGGGCGGGGGGGGGGTGT